TTTTTTTTTTTTTTTTTTTTTTTTTTTTTTTTTTTTTTTTTTTTTTTTTTTTCTGGAGAATAAGACTGTGAATCTCATGTGAGTTGGGGAAGAGAATGAAACATTGTTTATAAGAGTGTAGAAAACTCTCCTAGCAGACACGTTTTAGAACTTTGAGGGAAAGCTCAAAGAGGACAATGTCTACTAGCGGTGGGCTTGGGCTATTACAAATGGTATCAGAGGCAGACACCGGGCGGTGTGCCAGTGAGGACGCTGGACCTCGAAGGGGGTGGATCATGAGATCCCAAATCGGTTGGGGGAGGAGAACGAAACATTCTTTATAAGGGTGTGGAAAGCTCTCCTACTGCACTGGGCCCCAACATTGATTGGAGAAGGTAACGAGTGCCAACAAGGACGTTGTGCCTCAAAGGGGGTGGATTGTGAGATCTCACATCGGTTGGGAGGAGAACGAAACATGCTTTATAAGAGTGTGACAACCTCTCCTAGCAGACACGTTTTAAAACCTTTAGGAGAATCCTAGAAGGGAAAGCGTACAATATCTGCTAACGGTGGGTTTGGGTTGTTACAAAAGCCAATTCGTATTTATTTACACATATGAATCATTAGGGTCAAATAATTTCCACATATGAATCATATTCGTCTTTATTTACAGGATAGGAACATTCTTGAACCATTTAACTCATCATATATGGCATCAACTCTGGAATTTGTGGACAACGTGAATATTCAAGGAAGGGTCTTCCAAAGGTATGTATCAGTCTTCATGGTTGTTCCAAAGGGATTTTGATGAACTCAAATTGATACTTAAATAATACATTCCTTCCCCAAATGTAGAGTTGAAGGCATTTGCCATATGGATAGCATTTGAACTGTTCAGCTCAGGAAATGTATTAGTTTCTTCAAGTTTTGTGTATCTGCATAGGCTAGGAACGGGAGTGATCACATGGGTATATAATTGAGGACAATACTCTCCATTGTTGTTCAGTCTTTTGGTTGGAACGTAAAGCAAAGCCATAAGGGCTTATGACCAAAGTCGTTAATATCATAACATCGCTGAGATAGGTAAAGGTTATGTTGTCCTTAACAATTGGTATCAGAGTCGTCGTGTCTGAACCTAACTGTTGGAGAAAATCCTCAAAGTGGAACAAAATGTGCCCTATCAAGTCAAACCATCCCTGATAAGAACTGATCTTTGTTCAAGGGGAGGAGGTGAAGGGTGCAAAAATGACTGCTTCCATCTTGGAATATATCCCACAATGTTATTCGTGCTCGTGAGGCTGTTTTATGTTCATATCCTATTTTTTATGAGGCTATTTTATGTTCATATCCTTTAACTTGCTATTGATGTTCTTTTCACCTGTAGATTTCCGCCTTATTTACTCGAGAAGTTGAGTACAGATTGTATTGTAATGCAAAACCATCGTGTAAGTTCTTGTGGGTGCGATCGATGATTGATCGACATTCTTTCGATAACTTAATTCGTACTAATATAGATTGTCTTCTTTTCCATACAGTTTGGTATCTCACCAGGGAGGTTTGAACAAAATAAAGAACTGTCCAGTTTTTTTCAGATATTGACAACTAGTAATGATATAGACAATAAGGTACTGTGAAATTTCTCTCAACTCTTTACAAAACAGTATCAGACTTTATATAACTGCACTTATTCAAATGTTCCTCTACCTCTACCTGTTGCACCTTCAGTAATGCTTATGTCGATTACAGGTCTATGTTTCCACGGTTCAAGCTCGGGATTATCCCGTGACTGCATTTCAATGGCATCCTGAGGTAATTAATTGTCTAATATGGTTGTTTTAGCCCGTTACATATCTATTAGGGAGAGATTTCTACACCCTTGTGAGAAATGTTTCGTTTTCCTCTCCAACCGATGTGGTATCTCACCGGGTGTGTGGCAAGGTGGGCTAGACATGGTTAAACATATGGTTGAGCATCCTGTGGTCACATGCATGACATCCTCTCCCCCTAAACAAAATAAGTCACTAAAAATTAAATCAAATGATTTCTCACTTTCTGCTTTAACTGATAATTCCAAACTTGTTAGATGCCCTGTTCTTTTCGTTTTAGACAGCAATATCCTACATAAAAGACCATCTCATAACCTTGTCGTATGATCTTTGTTGATGTATAAATCAATCGAGCGCCTAAGATTCTACGTTTTCATTGCAGAAAAACACCTTTGAGTGGGGCTACTCCATGATTCCGCACACGGAGTATGCAATTGAAGTGACGCAGCATGTTGCCAACCACTTGGTCAGGTTAGAACATGACAACTTCTTTCTATACACCTTTTTAACAGGAGGCCTATCACTAAATCTGTGAGGAGAAAGTGTACCTTAAAGTTGGCCTAAGGATCTTGTATCAGCTCAAGCCCACCGCTAGCATATATTGTTCGTTTTGGCCCGTTACGTATCAATGTCAGCCGCGTCTATTAGAGAGAGGATTTCACACCCCTTATAAGGAATGTTTCGTTCCCCTTTCCAACCGATGTGGGATCTCACAATCCACCCCTTAGGGCCCAAAGTCCTTGCGGGCACTTCGCC